GGGGGCGGTGTCTGCCAAAGTTGCCTTCTGGTAGATAATTATTCTGTTTTTATATTCACCTACTAGTCCTACGCAGCGAAGCGAAGTGAAGTGAAATAGGTCGTATACAACATTGTACAACGGTGTACTCGACTCATCCCACTCAGGAAAGAAATCAAAGCAACGCTGTAAATGCCCCATCATTGCGCGACTCGTCTAGCAATGGACTCGGATGGAAAAAGGCCATGCATGGCATATCATACCTACCTTATCCCTGCTCGTACGACCTGGGGTGAAACTCCCGTCGTTTCCATGACTACCTACAGTACTTTGGCCAGCGAGTACTCGCATGATAGGTTACCTACACAGCTAATAAGCGTAAGAAAGCACGAAGTGCAAGTCATCTTCACTACGCCGCCTGGAGTTCGAGAATGTAGAAAACTTTTTTTCTTTTTTTTTTGAACAATCAATTTCATTAACACCACTTCATAAGCATCGAAGTTCGAGAGCACACAGTGTCTGCGCGAAACTGAACTGTTTAACTGAGTTGCAGCAAATTCAACACCTCGGCCAGGCCAGCAACAATCATCATACATCAAGCTTCAAGCTGAAGCAAACAACTCAAAGTCGGTCGTAAAGTCAAACATTCCTTGCATACCCGCACAACCTGATCTGATCCGAACAACAATGACATCACAAACAAACTCCAGCAAAACCGAATACTCGTACCATTGTAGGCCTTCAACATTGCAATCGAACAACACATTTGTCTTCCCACGAATCATACCGTGCAAAGGGTGTAACCAACCCGTAGGACATGGACATCTTCATAACCCGTCACGACATGACAGATGACACGCCATCATCTGGAAGCAACACCCCATCAATCAAACCTCTCTAACCCCCTTTGGTGCATCAAGAAGCTCCGTCAACTCCTTGGCTGCTTCGCGGTCCTCTTCAATCATTTCAATGGCGGCCTCGACATCACCCGCTGTGGCGCTGGCGTACATGTTTAGTCGTGACATCTCATTGTCGTCCCCAAGACCGTACCCCATCGCCTTGAGAGTCTTGGTACATTGATCAGCCGCCAAAGTAGAGGTCGGTGGTGGGACCGCAGATGCGTCATGACGGCCTGTTGGACGAGTGTAGGGGGCTGGTGTGATTATTGGGATCAAGCCTGCTTTTGGATGGGCATGGCTTGGTGCGAGGTGAGGAAACGATGGGCCACTAGAATCAAGGCTAAGTTTCTTATCGCTTGCTCCGCCATGGGCCGTCGCCTCGGACTGCAGAGGGTGGGCTGGGCCGGCGACAGCTGACGCAGACCCAAAAGATTGGACAGAGGTCATTGGGGACATCATTTTCGGCCTGGCTGGACGGCTGACAGGGGCAGGTCGAGGGCGCATATGATGGAGATGAGGGTATGGTGCGGCAACGTGGCGGTACCGCGCAGTCATCAGAGGGGCCCAAGCCATGGATGGTGGCAGGTAGTCTGCTTGTTTTTTGGAACTCATATCGGATTGAAGGTGGCCAGCAAGTTGTGACTCTGCTGAGCTCATACCACGAGAAGTCGCCCAGTTGCGTCCGCGGCTGGTGGGCCGGTCACGAGAAGTACCATCTTCATCATGGGACGTAAGTGAGGCAAGAGGGTCGAAGGGCCCATTCAATCTTGCAGCAGGATTCGTTCCGCTCACGGTATGGTATCTTCGTGGAAGATGCAATGATGGGACTGAATGGTAGCCGGCACCTGAAGAACCACGTTGGAACAAGCCTCCTGATCCCTCTCCCTGGGTCGATGTAGCAGACTTCTCGGGACTGTTGTCGGGTAACTTTGGATAGGATGGGTTGGATGCAGCAGGGCTGGGGTGCAAGTCCTCGGTCTTCTGTTCGGGCCAGGCACCAGGGACCCATTTGGACCGCAATCCAGTAGACTTCTCCTTGACACCAGTCTGGACTTGCGGACCGTCGACAGTAGTGTCTCCCGATCCTACGTCGTCCTCAACAGATGGTGCCTTGTATACATCCGTCTTCTTTGGCTTGGGTGCAGTATCCGTCGAGCGACAGCTCAAGTAAGAGCGAGGGGGCCACTCTCTGAGATGAGGCGTGGAAGCATGTTTAGTCATGTTGATTCGGGTCTGTTGCTCAAACTGTCCGATAGTAGGGTAACGTGTCAGGGTTGTTGCGGTGTTGGTGACAACGTGTCCGACTGGAGGGGGATGCGTGGGCTTGTTCAGACCAGCGACACTCTTAGCCTTGCGAACCGACAGCAGCGGAGGGTATCTGGCGGAGAAATCAGGCTCAGACGGGTCTTGGTCGAGGATGGACGATCTGGGAGGAGGAGAAACCGAGGCCTTGTTCTGAACAGCCTGTGTCGCCGGCCTCGGAGGGGGATTATGTTGCAATACATCTGCAGGCGAGTACTTGTTGGTGGCCGAGCGAGCGTAATCCTTGTGGTTGAAACATTTCCAGCCATTCTGGTCAGCGTAGTAGAAGAGGTCTGAGTCGTCCTCTAGTTTCTCTGCCTCGGACCAGGGCGTTCCGACAAAGGTGACCTTCTTTGCGTTGGTTTCTGGCTGCTTCATAATCAAGGGAGGAAGGCAAAATGCTGATGATTCAGATTGCACCGGCTGCGAAGGAGACGGGTCTGTCTGGGTGGCCGTGCCAGTCTTCTGCTCTTGTAGTTCGCGGTCAACGGCAGATAAGAACTGCAGGCCAAGTTCACCGACACTCGATAAGATGCCCTTGAACCCGGTCAACACGTCTTCCACCGGACTGGCTTCGCCCCCTGCCTTCTTCTCAGCAACTTTTCGCAGTCCTTGTGCGGTAGCCTCGAGGAAGTCTGCAACAGGGCCCAGGTTCGAGCCAAGGCTGCTGAAAACATCAAAGAGGATGTTGTCTAGTTCACTTGAGGACGCTTCTTCAACGGATGGGAAAGACTTGGCCGGCTCGGGGGTGACGTTCGAGCCCTGTTGAGACTGTGCAGACTGTTCAGACGGTGCAGAGGAGGTGTCGACCACGGCTGAACCATCGATCTGCTTAACAGAGCTCGTATCGGAAAGATCACTCTTAGAAGCACCGTGTTCAGACGCAGACGCAGACTTTGGCTCGGCTGCCCCAGGTAGACTGCTAACGTGCTCACCGCCACTGTGCACACCCAAATCTCGTCTCTTCATCTTCTTCGTTGTTTCGGCCTCATGTTTCTTCCAAACAGCCACACTCTTATGCCCACGCCGAATATCAAAGATATGCATCATGCTATCTCCATCATCCGCTGTAGCCCTAGCCGGCAATAGCGCCTCAGGAACACGGAAAGTCGAATTCTTCGCAGGTTCATCCAACCGTTGTTCCAACTCAAGCCCACTTCCCACCGTGACAATCTCGCCATCATCATCGTCAAGGTAAATCAAGGCAACTTCAGGCCAAGACTTGACCGCTTGATCGTATTGACCCGCAGTGATCTGAACGACGGCCGGCGAAGTGTGAGGTCCGTTTAGGGAACGGATGCCAAATGCTGGTAGCACCGGCATCGGCGAGCTGGAATCGGAATTGGCCATGACGACAAGCGGATGGATAGGACCAGCCTGCAGTGATGGTTCAAGAACTCGAAAGAGGTTCTCGCAATTGCATGGGACTCGGAGTTGAAATGCCTTGCAACGACAAAAAGGCTTGCAGAACGAGATCGAGACTCGAGAAGACCTTGAAGCAAAAGACAAGGCAAGGCTGAAGTGAAAGAGTAAGAGTCGAGTGTCGCAGTGCCAGTGCCAGGCAGCAGTTCAGTTGGGTGCACTGCAGTGGCACTGCAAGTAAGTTGCCTGCGGACGCTAACCCCGCATTTCGCGTAGCATCCACCGCACCGCAGTTTAGTCTGTTTACAAACGTAATTAAAGTTCAACTTCACTGGCAGCTCAACTTCAAGTCGTGCCAGTCACTGTGTTCAACTCGCCCACACTGCAAAAGGTTATCGATAAGCGATCGCACTAATAATAGCGGACCACTACTGGTAGTACCGCAGGCACTGGCACTGGCACTGACAGTTGTCGTCCTGGTACAATTCCAACAATTACTACTAGGAAGTAATCCTAGTCCAACCTGATACACCGGCTCTGACTGAAATCAGTGCAACACTACCAGTATAAGAGAGTTTTGACTGCGGTATTCAATCAAATCAAATTGCAAGGCTCCTCCACAAGGCTCACTACTACTAGTACAGTGGTATTCATCCAAAACTCATCTGGCTCATGAAAAACAGTGCCGCCGGCCATCCCTGGCTCTTGATATTACAACTTGGTGCCCACAGGCAAGACCAACCCTCCTCTCCTGCGAATCCGATACAATCCTTCTCAGTCCCTTCTCCTTTCGTCGATATATTACAATATAGTGCAAGTTGGATGGGGTAATAAAACAATCAAGGCAATTCTGACAGCCGATGTGTCCGATCAAATCAGCAACAGCTCGCCTGAGCTGCTCTTTCGTGTATGCGCGTCGTTCCGGTCGTCGAAATCTGAGGCGGTGCTGCTAGATGATGCAATCATTCCACGACGTAGATGATGATAGATGGAACTGCGGCCTCACTTCTTCCTCGCAAATCTCTTGTTGAGCAATGCGAGGACCTTTGAGACGTCGAATTGCACATATTCCAGGTCGAGATCTTCCTGGCCGTCCTTTTGCATCTCCAACAGGTCGTCCAACTTCAAATCCAACTCGAGCAGACCACGCGCGCGCCCTGCATGTGTTGTTAGCTTGAGATAAGCCACTGCAAACTGATTCACGGCACTCACCTTTATAATGCAGGCTGATGACAAAAGTGCCCGCCAGAGGGCTCCGGAACATGAAATAAATGTTGCCCCTTCGGTTTTCCGGAACATTGCTTCGTGTGATGACACCATCCTTCTCCAGCTGGGCGTGGGTGAATTTATATGGTCCCAACTCCCGGACTTTCTCCGCTTTACCTCGTCTCGCTCCCTCGGACTGACTCCGGACATTGTGCAAGTAGTTCTTGTAAGTGTCGAGTTGCGAGAGGAGATACGCGTTGTGATCACGGATCGTTTTGTACACGTCTTCCAACTTGGCCGTCTCCTCGAGCACCTTTTCCTTCAAAGAGCCCAGATGGGCGAGTTCCTGCTCCACCTCATCACGAAGGACGGCGTAATCGTCACCAGGATCGACCACCCCCATCTCTGCAAGTTGCGTAAGGAGTTCCATGCAACGGATACCCTTGCGGACCATGACAGCGTCATTCTTCAGAGTACCCGCCGCCTCGGCGATGCGATCAAGACGCAGCGGTCGTCGCATGACGGCGGCGTTTTGAGGCAGACTTCGCATGATTTGCACAAACGTGCTTTTCGCTTCCATGAAATAGATCTCTTCCTGAGTGATGTCCAGGGCATGGGTTAGATCATCGAACGAGGCCTCCCATCTGCTGAACAGGGGAAGAGTAATGGCTCTGTTCTCCTTCCGCGGCAGTTGAGGAGGGGCTGGTCCTAGTTCTTGAAGCAGAATACCGAGGTGTGAGGAAGGGTCCTTGGCCAGTTCGGCACTATGCTTCTCTAGCAGAGCGTGAGTGGCATAGACCTCGTTCAAGCTGATCTGCAACTCGAGATCACGTTTGGACAATGCGACATAGTTGTCCATCTCCAAACTCTCATAGAAATCTTGCACCTCGCAGAGGTCAAGCAAAAACTTGTTGCACCGGTCCTTGTTACGGTGAATAAAGGGCTGCAACTTGGCCATGTATGGCTCTTTTGCGTAGGACGGCTTGTTGGCCAGATTCTGGAGCATTTTAGCGATGTATGTCAGCGTCCGTTTCGGTTTCTCGTCCGGGACTCGTTCGATCAGCATGTAAGACTTGGGGGTGACAATTGCAGGATTGATGAAGCGTAAAAAGAAGAATCCACCAATCAGAGTACAGATCGCCTGGTCCTGGGCTTCAGGATACTTGCGCCGGGAGAGGTTTCGGATCTGTTTGCAGATCCAGCGAATTCCATACGGGGTGTCCTCCAAGCATTCGATGATCGCGGACAGAAATCCCTCGGCGATTTCGGTCAGCATATTCAGCCGTGGTGCAATGATGGCTTGAACTTGGGCATTCTCTGCGGCAAACTCGGCGGTCACCGACCGTGGCAAGTCTTCTGGAAGAGAACCGGTATCTTCTTCGATCTGCTTCACCATCGCTTCGTAGACCTTGAGGGGATTGATTTCGAGGTCTACATTGTTTAGTTCTGTCAGGGAATTGATCTTCTCTGCCAAAACCTCTTTGAGGAAACTTTGGCCCGGGCCGCGTCGGGTATAGGTGGTCATCATCCGTGAAACCGGCGTGTTCTGACGGAGCAACGACGAATACTCCGGGGTTGTCTCAAATTGGTGCGTCAGGACGGACTGGAACATGGTCAAGAGAAGATGTTCTTCCCGACTTTCGTACTGATTTCCATAGATGGTGAACATGACGGTCTGCAGGAGGGAATCTATTTCGGCCATCGTGACCAAGCGGCACAAATGCGCAATGTGCCGAGGCTCCGATTGCAGCATGAAAAGCAGGTTGCCGTACTTCTGCGTCTTTTCGTCGTTGGGAAACGAACCTTCCTGCAGTTCAGCTGCATCGTCCAAATGACTGGCTACTTCGTTTTGCTGCTCACAACGTTAGCGGACAAATCAAGTCATTTTCGAGAAGTGGAACCCCACCTCTTCCAAAGCCATCCGGTTTTGAATCAACAGAGCAATCCTGGAGTCCAAATATCGAACGTCCTTCTCGAGGACAAAGTTCTTCTTCGACTGATTGGAAATCTTGGCCTTGAGATCTCTGAGGGTGCGTTGTGCCCGGGCAAGATCGTCGCTGATTTCCAGATCCTTATCTTTTGCGCTCATGCTAGCATACAAAGCCGTCATACTGACGCGCTTACTCTGGCGCAAGGACCGGGCGCCATCATGGCTTGAGAAGGTGTTCTGGCGAGTCATCGGTTCGAAAGAGGAATTGGTCGAGGTCGAGCCTCGCGAGGCCGGTTGCAGCAGGGTTGCGACAGACATTTCGCTGGTCTTGCTGCGGCTCGCCTTGGAACGATCCTTTGCGCTGGAGACGCGTCTGGGGACTTCGGAGCGGATTGTAGAACTCATCTACTCTTAATCACCCTGGTTTGTTTGCCGAATCAAGGCACGTTATGTATTGTTGCAGCCTCCGGGGTTGGGCAACGATTGAAGTTGGACGTGTTTCAGAATGGGCCGCAGGTCATCGGGTGCAGGACGCACAAGGGCTTCCCTTCCGGAGGCAAGCAGACTAACTTTCCAGCTGGAATGCAGGAGATAATTTCCAGGATGGCCTGTACGTATGGCACGGGAGCGCAGGCCAATGCGACCAGCGCGGTTCAAGTCCGCGATGTGTTCTTTTCTCTTTTCCTCGCAAAGCGGCCTCGATAACAAAAAGTAGCAGACACTCCTCCCACCCAATAACACGGATATTTCCTTTTGATAAACGGCTCACGCGGGACTGGACACACTTTTCCCAGAAGAACTGGCGGGGTGATAGGTGTGCACTCGGGATTTGCCCGCCGCGCGACTTTGCTGTACAGGCGGTTAGGGACTTGGTGCGGATTGGTTAGAAGTATCGGCGAAAGAGAGCAGCTGGCAAAGGTAAGGACGACAAGAGGGACGACGCAAATCGAACAGAGGAGTGAAGCCGACGTCGAATATGAGGCAGGAGGTCCGAGAGTCAGGAACCACGAACTTCGATCGAGCGAATGAGGAGGAACACGGCGACCGTGTACTGCGCAATGGTGGGTGGTGTAATGATAGGGAAGATCTAGGAGGAATGGGGTGCGAGACGCCCTGCTCAGGCTGTCGCTCGGACACTGCCTGGGATAGCCACAGCAGTGGACAAGGGTTGTTCAACGGCCATCTGGCGTCGACGGACACGGACGAGGAGGAGACTGAGGGAGAGGTTGATTCGGAACCAGGGGATAGGGGAAGAATTGACAATGGAGGTTCGGTGGGTTTGGGTTAGTGGCCGTGAGCGCAGCCGTAGCCGCAGCCGTAGCCGTAGTTCGAGTTTTGGGTGTGGATGGAGGGTGGAGGATGGAGACGGCGGGCGATTGATGGTGGTGTGGTTCGCTTGGTGCCAGCAGCAATGATGATAGGAGGAGCACAGGAGGACCGTGGGTGATGGTGTACTACTGGTAGAGAACCTCTGGCTTGACCTTCGGTGTGAGTGGACACGCCACGCTGTTCAGCTCGAATTGAAGCGGGCGAGGGGCGAGGGACAAGGTGTACGGGGGGGTGTCAGTGCCTGGAAATGTCAAGTTGGCGGATGCTGTAGCTCGGTTTCAGGGGTAAAAAGCCCCCACCATCCTGCGCCAAACACCCGCTAGCACGGCAGAACTCCTACGCACGGGCAGCAAAATGCAGGCACTTCTTCTGCTCCTGACTTCCTCCAACCATCTTCCTGTCGCTACATACCAGTACTCCACCTCCATGATCCATCAACACCTCAAGTCATATTGTAGATAATGAAAAAGAGGATATGATGAATGATGATGAGTCGCATCGTGGCCTTTCCAGCTGGCACTAGCATTCCGCCAAATGCCATGCTGCCGGGGTAAATCAAATCATCAGTATTGAATGCATACTAGGTAGTAGAGAGCACATGAAATGGATGGGCAGCCTAAGTGCACGCCTCCTCCATCATGATGAACGATCGACTTGGGCTGTTCAAGTTTCCCTATACAAAGACCCGTCCCGCGGACACTACTACTGCCCCTGCAAATCGATGCGCCTCCCACCCTCATCCTACCCGTATCCGCCTCAAAAGCATACAGCATTACCAAATAAATATATCTCTGCATTCAAATTGTGGCATTATTGCAGGGATGGAAACTATCTTGGTCTGCCTCCATGGATCTCGAACCCGGACAATCTGCGCATTCCAGCCTGACCGGCAGGTATGCAAGCCGTCCACTCTCCTCAAAATGTGAAGGCAATGTCCTTGCTCTGGGAACATGTACGTAAATAAAACAGTCCAGGTGACCTGTGCCCGAACGTCTAGCGAACATGGTGCATTGCGAAGTGACGACGAGGCTTGATCATCATACCGCACAATTCGTTGAGATCCTTCACGACGGCAGCGGTGGATGGGATCATCATCTACCTTCAGTTGCGACGGATATCACTTCCCTGATATGTTCATGGTCAGTAGGTACAACGTACAGTAAAGTATCATCAGGGAGGACACCGCCGAGTCATTGCAATCATTCTACAAGCCCACAGAAAGAAACATGCGCAGGCTGCACCCTACTGAGGTAAGAATAGGCCACAAATAGCCTCCGTCTCAGATGACTCCGGGCCAGGCTATGCGTCCAATTCAAGTTGTTGATCGGCCAGGATGCTGTTTCAGGATACCCCCCGGCTCACTACTACTACAGTAACGACTACGTTGTAGGGATGAGGTGAGACAAGCTTCCAAACAGCTGCTTTTGCAAGGGTTACCTTAACCGTAGTTTCGCTCGCGATCACCCGCTTGTTTCCACTAACTGGAGGGTTGCCATCATGGTTGTTTCCATTCCATCTATTCCGAGTCGTGCTGTTTCTGTGCTAAAAAGAAAGCGGAATTGCTCTCCGAGGTCCCTCGTTCCATATCCTCATCCGAAACAGGATTACAAGTGGCGGCCAGCATCCGTTTTCAGGCAGATGGGGAAATTCGAGATAAGAAGACTCCAATTGAGTCATCCTCGCCTATTCCGATATCCACTGCTGACTCTGAAGACAGGAGAAGGAGAGAGTTGAGGTCGGTTTTTGACCCATGCCAGTGGTGCCCATGGGCGTTCCGGACGGTCGATGCACAGGGGCGGAGATTTGATGGGATGGTTTCAAGTTGGCCAGCTGAGACGAACTGTGTAGGACAAACTGGAGGACCAGCATAGGGGGATCTCGCCGAAGGACTTCTCGGCATGAAAAGTACATAGGGTGTTACTTGGCCGTCACCAAGGTGGGTGTTAGAAGGGTGCCGGTCTGTCAGGGACGCGGACGGCAATAGAACCAAGCCACCGGTGTGACAATGCCTGTCATCAATGGCAGCGGGCGTCTCGGCTCCTGGTACTCCATGAGATAAAATATCAATAAAAGATATCGTTCAGCACCCAGATGATACGTCAACTCCAGTTGTCGCAAAAGCGAGGATATCGCCACAACAAGGCTCATACAACCACGGCCACGCCTGGAGATCACACCCGCACTCAAGGCAACGAGAAGCGTCACTAATCCCCTGTATTTGAGTAGACTCAGTTTTTTTGGTACTCGATATGTGATAGCATTCCGAAATTGCTTGCGCTCGTTGACACATGAAATAGCACTGCTATTAGCACTTCCTTCTCATCCGGACATCTAGCAGTCCCCCTCAGCAAGCCGCATTCCATGTCGGGGCGTTCATCTCGGCAGAATCAATCAAGCTTGTTCCGCAAATTGTCATACTTGCTCTCCGGGTACTCGAGGCAGTTCTTGGATTCGTCCAACCGACCGAGTCCACCGGAATGAGTCACAAAGGTCTCGAGGAGGCTGCCGCCGCCGATGGGTTTGTCACCACTGGACTCCCAAAACATGCCTCCACCGAGGCCATAATCCCGAGCAAATGATGCCTTCTGGGCTACCATGGCAGGGGTGTCGTAACTGATCATGGTCTTGGAAGGCAGCGAGTAGCTCCAACTGGCTCCAATTTCCCGATCATGGTACTCTGAGCTCTCCGGCTTAGGCAGGGCCTTGTAGTCCCAAACCCCTTGTTCCCAACTTCCCTCACCGGTTCCGCTGAAAGGATGTCCAGGCCCTTCGGTGGACGTAAAGGCTCGGCCGTACAGAGGCATTCCAAGCACGATCTTGGAAGGGTGCACACCGTGCCGCGTATAGTGTTCTAGGGCGGCTATGGTGCTGAACGGCGTGGACTCAGGGTGAGCTCCTGACGGGAACAAATTCGCCTGATGTCCTGCGCGTTGGTCCCATGAACCGGCATAGTCGTACGCCATAAGATTCCAGAAGTCCAGCAAGCGATCCATTGCTGCAATGTCCAGTTTCTCAAAGTTGGACGGTCCAGCAGGACAAGCCACGGTCAGATAGAACCGTGTATGAGATCGTTTAGCGGCCGCGGCATCTAGAGCCTTTCTCGTCTCGTGCAGCAGCTTGACAAAGTCTTGGGCCTCTCCGTGGGTTTTCGGATACTCCCAGTCGATGTCGAGGCCGTCAAACCCGAGGTCTTCTACTAGTCTGACGGCGCTCTCTGCAAAGCGTTTCCGGCCGCTCTCGGTGCTGGCAGGCTGTGCAAAGTTGGAAGAGTAGGTCCAGCCACCGATGCTCAGCAGGACCTTCAATTTGCGATTTCGTTTCTTCTGAAGGAACAACTGTTTCACGCACCCGTAGACATTGGTCCCTTGATCGTTCCAGCTGTCGCCTTCGTAGTGTTTGTCGGTATCTGACCAGCTGTCGGTGAGATACACCTCCCCGCTTTCCGGTCTGACATTGGCAAAAGCATATAGGACGTGCGTGAGGTACTCGGCAGGGAGATCCTGAGGGTGATGGTTTCGACCATAAGGGGCCCAGTTGACGTAGTACACTACGGATCGGACACCGTGGCCGCCACCCATCGTGAGTGGTATTTCTTCGAGGCCGAGTTGAGGAATGAACTGGGTCAGTGAAGGTGAGGGTTGCAAGAGTAGAACCAGGAACAGAATTACAACAAGGAGGAGCATGCCAGGGCATGGACAACGAGGGTGAAGGGAGGTTTAATACTTGGATTGAACCATGGCCATGGCCGGAGTCCAAGTCGTCCAGTTTGGAGGCTGAGTGCAGTGACTGGAAATGCTTGCGTATCTCAGCTGTTGTCTCACCTGGCAGTGACCAAGATGTACGTACTGTCACGCTTGCACGCACGAGTGGCAGTGATACAGTATAGGCATTCAAGTTCAAGTGGTTCAACTTCCAGTTGGTGGTGACGGAGCAATGTGGCTGATGAGAGGCGGTGCATGCTGTTCTTCGGTGGCTGCGGTTCGCTCGCTACACCCCGCGCTAGTACTGGCAGGTACGTCACGTGAAGGCCGGTCAATGATTTATCCGAAGCAGCCTCGGCATCAACATGGCATCATTTGACAGAACTACGAGTAGAAGTGCCAGTCGAGATGCCATCAACATCATCCTTTGTTGCTATACTAGTAGATTAAGATACCAAGTTCAATCCTCTTCGAACCGTCTAGCCCATTTTGCCCTACCAGGCCATACCATCACCATGCCTCTGGAAGTCCTCTTTTTCGGCGCCGGGGCCATTGGGGCGTTCTACGCCAGCCGCATCGCGGTCAACCCGGACACCAACGTATCTGTAGTATGTCGGTCCAACTACTCCGCGGTGAAAAGCAACGGGTTTCACATCACATCGCCCCAATACGGCGATTACCAGTGGACGCCAACTCGGACATTTGACTCGGCCGAATCTGCACGCCAGAGCGGCGTGCGGTGGGACTACGTGGTGGTAAGCACGAAAGCGCTGCCCAACATATCCGACGACTCGAAGCTGGTCGATGGCCTAGTCAGCCCGGGAACGGCGGTGGTTTTGATTCAAAACGGTCTAGGCGTTGAGCACCCGTATGCTCGGCGGTTTCCCAGTTCGAGCATTCTGAGTGCCGTGACCATTGCCTCTGCCGCACAGCCGAGTCACGGCCAGATCAAACATAACCGATGGACGCGGATCAACATCGGACCATTCTTTCTAGAAGGAGAAAAATCAAGCTCCCTTGAAGAGGCGACGCGACAAAATCTTCGCTTTGTCGACCTCCTGATCAAAGGCGGGATCAAGGACGCCATCGCCGACACCCACGAGAAGCTGCAACTGGTGCGTTGGCACAAGATTGCCATCAACGCCGCCTTCAACCCGTCCGCCGTGCTTTCCGGAGGCACTGGTAACCAGGCAATGGCATCCGACCCGGAACTATACGTTCATCTGAAAGGTGTTATGGACGAGGTTCTCACCACGGCTCCAAAGGTCGTGGGAACGCCGTTTCCGGATTCGTTTGCCTCGTCCGAACAAATCCTCAGGTCGACCTTGAGGAACAAAAGCGGCAGCAAGCCCAGTATGCTCCTTGATTGGGAGAGTGGGAAGCCAATGGAGGTAGAGGTCATTCTCGGCAATCCCATCCGCCTGGCCAGAGACAAAGGGTTTGAAATGCTTCGAATGCAGAGTCTGTATGCCTTGATTCGGATGATGGAGAAGAATCGAGAAAATCAGAAGGCTAAGCTTTGATTGTTGTCAATCATTACAAGCTGCAGAGGTGTGGAAGGTGAAACTACCACCGCCAGCCTTGCATGCTCCGGAGACGTGAACACAATCTCCTCATCATCACTCCAACCGTTGTTGCCGATGGTGCAGAAGCAGATTCTCGGAGGCCCGAACATACCTTGCCTGGATGTCTACTCCACCACAACCGAAAATAACGAACAGAGGATCCTATCACCTGGTCGTCAGTGTCACACTGTACGAAGCCTTTCTGAGAAGGACCAATAACCTCAATCAATACTTTTTCGGAATGACACATAAAGAACAAACTGAGCCGAGCTAAACGGAGGCTTTTTGTACATGGCGATCTTCTGGATACTTCAAAAGGGGGCCATGGGGCCACCACCAGCTGCCGGAACAAAAGACCTTTTATCATTTCGGGTATATGGCGGCCTCTCCTGCAGCAAAATGCTAGCTGTATGTTGAGACATCCGTCACTTACTCAGAGAACCCTAACCCTATCCCGCACCAAGACCAAATTCACCACCTTTGAATGCAGTGGCCTCCTCGACATCTCGAAATAGGGGACATGGGGACACCACCAGCTGCCGGAACAAAAGACCTTTTTATTATTTCAAGTATACGGCGGCCTCTCCAGCAGCAAAATTCTCTCCGTCACCAAGTTCAAATGTTCAAATTCACTACCTTACCTTTGTATCCAGCGGCCTCCTGGATACTTTAAAATGGGGCTGTGGGGCCACCACCAGCTGCCGCAACAAAAGACCTTTTTATTATTTCGAGTACATGGCGGCCTCCTCCCACCTATCCAGCAGCCAGCTATGGTTCTCGACTTACCTGCTCAGGTCAGGCAGGCCTTCTATGGTCTACAACTACTCTGATCTGGTGTGGTGATCCCGCCCCGTCCTACCTAGCATCCTGCCCACGCCGCCGATATCAGATCGAATCCCACCAGTCACTTAGCTATTCAGCCAGCTTAGCCTGCTGCAGTCAAAGCGCGTGCGCGTCCGTTGGTGCGACTCGACTCGGCTCGAGGACAAAACCCGAGCAAATAACCGAGCAAAGGAGTGGGATTGTACCAAATGAATACCTTATGAGATTGGATGTCTAGGTTGTCTGGGGGTCAGGGTACTGTATCTGGGTGTCCGCGCGGTCTTCAGACTATTGTATCTGTGCTGGTTGGTCATGGGCGACACACGGCATCACATACCGCACGAAAGATACGATTACGCTTACATCAACATACTCGCACTGGCGGACGTACAAGCACCTAGGTACCGTAGGTGGTCTCGCCAGCTAGTGCCGTTGTCTATCCTAGGTACTGTACCTATATCTACTATCTAGGTTCGATCCATCCCTGTAGCCGTTGACTAGGACCACAACCACGATTTGAATACAATAATAATGTGAATACAACGAGAAGACTGTATTGCCTTTGCCAAACACTCACTTTCTCCATTCTATTTTATTGAGCATGATACATTTGACCGTCCCAAACCCCAGTCACCCGAGTACCCCCGGGTGGGGATGATTGAAAGATCACCACCATCCACAGCAGTACATCACGATGCAACAGATGCCTTTTTTCTAGACGTCGAAACCGACACCCACGAACTCGCCACCAAAGTCGCAGAAACCACCCACGCAGGCACCCAAACACACAACACACCAACCGGCACGCCCCAGCTTCCCCAGACATTCCATCCAAAAGCCAACTGTTGCAACCAATTCTGCAACACTTCGGTCGCGGCCACGAGTGCAGATGCAAATGCATAAGACTCATTACTCTCTGGTGCGTGTCCCAATTCCAATCCCAATGACAATCCCCAACCGCCAAACCAGTCCACAGGCCTCCTTGCAGTTGCCGTCACCATCGCAGCCACAAACGCCAACGCCATCGGACTCAAGACGACAAGACGCACGTACTGCAGAATGGCCAACCTCTTGTTATGTGGCGTCCGATCAACAAAGGCAAGTGGCACACATACGACGCCGAGGAACATGCTGAGACTGAAGTTGAGGGTGGCGAGGACTGTCAAAAATAGACCGAGGAGTAACATGCTCAATGACTTGATTAGAATGTATTGTTCATTCTCGTTGTCGTTTTCGGTCGTGGATGATACCACGGCTGTAGATGTTGGGTGACCCGAGGTCGGGTTGCTCTGGTTGTTGTTGGTGGTAGCGGCACCATAGTCGGTGGTACTACCGGTGAATCTGGACAAGGCTGACGCCAGGATGATGGGCAGAATGACGAAAAACAGTGCCAATGCCATGAATGTCGGTAAGAGAAGCTGTGCAGAAAGTGATGTGAGGAGATAGAGTGGAACAACGGATGCGAGATGGACCATGGCGAGCAGGGCGATGGGTAAAGCCAGGTTCCTGTTGTTGATAGGTGTAAGGTCGACTTCGGAGCCAGCCGGATTCCCATCAGCAGCCGCAGCAGGGACAACAGTCGCGGAGCGAGTCTGGTCTTTCGACACTACCCCAGCTATTCTGTCTGCATCTTCGCTTGGTGCCTTCACACCAGTGCCTGCTGCTGCTGCTATTGTTGAGGCCTTTGACCTGCTTGCTCGGTACCCACTCATGACCCAGAGGTAAATTGCCATAATGGTATAAGCCGCCGCAGTAATCATAGCACTAGGGAGGTATGTACCAATGCTGACGAAGCGATTGGACTGCATCAACAAGTAAAAGAAAAAGCTCTGATGCAGCTTCTCCAGCAAATTATTCAGACTGCGACAGAGACTCTCCACAGTCCTGCCAAAAGCCATTTCATCCTGCCACCCCTGCCCAATTGCCGTCAAAGTGATAGCATCGATATGATATGTCATGAAACTGGAATGCGGACCCGTAGCCTGGCCGAGTGCTTGGGACGCCATTCCCCGTACCAGCGTTTGAAGGCGAGATCGATATTGGTTGTGGCTGTCAGGATTGGTGTATGTATGTTGATACTGAATGGAGGTTCCAATGCCCATCTGGCCCGACGCGATCGTGACCGCAGTGTTGAAGAGATCCAAGTTGGGCAAGGCCCCGTTCACCCCGTCGTATGCAATGTGCAGATTCTCGAACCGATGTTCGAACGGATAGTCGATGCAGACGGCCGCCTGGAGCGCTCCGGACTTCAACGACAGATCTTGAACGTTTCGCGGGTCATGTGTTGAATGGTACGCGTCAATCCAGGCCTGTGGTCCGGCGAAACTGTCCGGTGTGACGAGGAAAATGATGTCTTTGGACCAAAGTGACCAACGCTTGAAATATCGCGCGAGAGAGATCAGCAGAGGCACTCCGTTGATGTTCAGTGCGTTGTCGATGTTCTTGAGAGGCGCCAGTAGCACAATCGCTTCGGTCCCATCGCCACGAGGTGCATGGAGGACTGCGTAGACATTCTCGCCCTCGTAGGTCTGTCCGGAGGATGTGTAGGAGTATCGTTGTGTCGCGGTCTTCAAGCCGGCGTTCCGGAACAATTCTTGTATCTTTGCAGTTCTTTTGTCCGATACATCCGGTACGTCGCTGTGTGTGGTCTCATTGATCGAGGCTGGCTCAATAACCGAAGCCAGTTCATGCCGATATGCTCGGAGGACGTTCTGTTCACTTCCCCCAAAGTATGTGTGCACTTGACCTGGTAACAGTGCGTTCTCTGAGATGTATGTCTGCCGGGAGTATTCGTCCAGAGGAAGGAGAAGGAGCCAGACTATACCTCCCAGGATGCAGAGCGCAGACAAGTAGGGAGGTATTCTTAGGAGACGAGGGTCGTCCCTCCGCAGGCCGGAGAAGAAGTTTCCTATAATCTCGGTTAGATACATGCGCGTATAGATTCTTCCTGGGGAGCAGAAATATCAATGTACTCACGGATCAGTCCCATCTTCGCCTCGCTCAGCCGGTTCCAGCTTCACCGCAAGGCTGCCGTCAGCAAGAGTCCCTTGTCCAGCGTGTCGCCGATGTGACGGGATGTGGACAGCGGCCAGATTTATGCCGAAGATTACCCGTCACAGGCTCAGCCTTACGCACCGACATATGTACCACCGTACATACCTACAACTTACTAGTATTCGCACGACGAAGTGCCAAAGGACATCCAAAGGATATCAACGATGTTTTCACGACCCTGGTATAGTATTTGTTGCTGGCCAATCCATGATAAAATAGTATAGTCTACATACAAACACCGCGCTTCCTACAGCACCGGTCGCCCCCCATTTTGTTTTGCGCGACATTAGCCAACTGATAGTAGTGACGCAGACGCCAAACCCCAAGCCAAGAAGATGCGAGATACTGAGTATCACAGCGCACGAATCAAGGCCCGAGCCGCTGCCCACTGCTACCTCCCATCCAGCCCAGACCTATAGGATTGACATGCTCACCGGGCCCGGCCGTCGAACTCGAAGGGAGGACACCGTAGCGCCCATAAGTCTTCTGATCCACCGAGACATAATGGGGCAGTCTGCCCAGAAGATTGAGTTTCCCTTCGATCCAGCGGAGGACTTTTTCCGGAGGAGCAAGAAAACGGATATATCCCAATCCCCCTGCTGAGCGTTAGCTGTAAATCCACGACTTGTATGGTATACAACATACAGAGATAGCCCGTAATACAACCGGATAAATGACCGAGGAACGACGTGTTTGGAATCAAAGCCGATGTGACCACCAATATCACCAGCGGCGAGATCCACGTCGGTATCTGATGGCCGGATATCCTGGTGTGAAAAAGTCAGCCAACCCGTCCATCGGTAACCATTGAGAGAAAAAAGCGCGATACATACTCAAAGTGAGGATTGGCCTTGTACGTCTTGATCGACTCGGATGCCAGAAGAAGGAAGACCCAAATACTAGAACATAGACATGAAGAATCAGTTATTGTTGTCTCTTGTCGCTGTTGCGAGCCATTAAGGTCAATGTCATACCTGGATCCCACCACTGGCGTGTTATCCCGTAGAATCACACCGTCCAGCAACAAATATATACCCGCGGGTATCTGTCCCAGCGCTGCCTCTGATTGTCAGTATTCTATTCCTTCTTTCTTTTCACGGGAACCAAATCCCCCTCTGTCTTCAAACTTACGTCCCATAAACAGCGCCAGGCTATTCAATGTCCCCCATTCGGCCTCGAACCGTTCCAGCAGTGGGATCAGACAAATCGCGTCCATCAACATATGCCAGAACCCATTGTGTATAAAAGCAAAGGTGTTCAGTCGATACAAACTCCCGAACCCTATCTCTTTCGGGGCAAGGGAGCCCCATTGAATCACACTCCATACGGTCTGGAATTCGAGGAGCCAGAAAGCAATAATGGCCAGCAGGACCAGGCGCGTAAATAAGGGTAATCGCAGGAGGTACGACCGGAGGCGGGAGACATTGATGAGTCGTGTCGGTAAGGGTAGGTTCAGGCTGTTGGTGCTGATTCTGGGCGGTGCCATGATTGCGGCTCAGGCTGTCTTTCAGACGCGACGATTCGAATTTCCTGCGATGCCAGGTTTCAACAATACGGCGGACGCAAGGAAAGGTCCGCCCAGTGTAAGAGGGGGTATAAAATCAACCGAGAATCATTAATCGAAGTAGATCATATCATCCCAACGCAGGTATCCTACGCCATGGTGGCTCAATAATATAACTGGAAAGAAAACAAACATTGGTCGAGTGCCCGCTGGCCGCGACTTTTACAAGGAAATGTGGCTCCCAAATTGCGGAGAAATCATCAGCGCCAGCCATCCCCGGGTTGTACCCTACGCCATCCATCGACTCTACATTCCGGATTCCACGATCAGAGTACCTGGAAGAACGCATCGGAAGTAAATCGATAGGAGCGCTATACTAGGAGATGAGAAGTTTGTAATTATTAATGCATTGGTCTATTATGTTGTTTGTTCAGCGCGGCCTCGTCAGCAAACAGCCACGCTGTCACCGCAGGCTTTCTATAATAATAAATGCAGTCCTGGGTATCATCCAGTATAGTAATAGTACGCCATATCTGACGCGACGACGTCTTGGGGTATCGTGCAGAAAGCAATAACTCCATCCCGGCCATGAACTTCCCCAACCAGGGTTTCATCAGAGTCGTCAAAGGGGTATCGCTTGCAAGTTAAGCATAAGAGTCACCTCAGCCAGCCAAGCAGAATGAATGCGAGAATTGAAATGCTGTAGTTTGTGGCATTACTCCTTCCAGTGCCGTTTTTCCTGTTCATTAGAGAATTGTAATCGGTTATGCGACCGGAATGTGAGCGGATTTGAGTTCCTTCCGGGTGGCCCAGCCCTTGAGGGAGAGCACAATGACCTCGTAGGACATGATGAAGGCTGTGAAGCCCATGGTGACGGTGAAAACAAACATGGCCATCAAATCGGCACTTTCCATGTAATGAATCACATCCCTGGTGCTGGCCATGAAAATGAGCCCGCCAGAGATGAGACAAAAAGCCGACACTAATTCTGTCGGTGGACGAGAGGGATAAACTGAGGCGGGAGGCGTGATGTAGTTGAGAATGTATGTGCAGAATCTGGCCACAGCGAAGCCGACCAACATGGTGCCCCATTGTTTGTGAACCATCGTGGACACCATCGAATCCTGGTGATGAGAGGACATCATGACCCCCAGAAGAAGGATGATCAAGGCCGGCATTGGGTTGAGAGATGTCCCGTATTGTTTGGGAGGGGCGCGCAATGCGAGTGCATCGCTAGGATGGACCTCTGTGCGCGCTGGCATGGTATCGACAACAGCATTGAGACATCTTCGGATGCACTTGGATTCAACAAGCATACCGCACTTGACCAAAGTCAGCGACGGCCGAAGAACAATTCAGATGTCTGAGAGAACTTACCAAGCCACCTCCGAAGAACATGACGGAAATGGAGACATGTTCCAGATCCTGCGCAGTCCAAGCACCACCCCAAGCGGCGAGATGCTCGAGGAAGACATTGCTGCTGCCGTAAAGGAAGATGACAAAGGATTCGACGAACTCGGCGGAGGGCACGGCGGCTTTCCATTGGCCCACCTCGCTGCGGGTCGGCTTGACGTTCCAAGCCCACCCCAGATCGGCGAAGCACCCCATCCAACGTCCCAGTGTCAGCAATCCGTACCAGAAGAAGATTCCTCCTTTGATAAAGTGGGCAAGTCCATTGAAGATGTTGTTGCCGCGCTATGTGTGGTCAGTGGAGGTCTTTGTGCTCAGACTGCGCCCTGCTCAGGGGCACAAACGGGTTACTTACGAAGATGCCGGCATATGTAACCCCTCCCGTCACCAATGCGATGAAACCGAGAACCAGAATCGTCCTGTCAATGACCTCGTACGCCACTTCAAAGACCCGCAGAAACTTGGCCGACATCAGATTGGGCACCCGCGTGGACAGATACTTGTCGAGAGCTTTGATCCGCCACCAGCGAGGGCTCCAAGCCCGTCTGGGCACCGCCGGCTCATCGTCCTCGTCTTCTGGATCCGGCTGCGGTTCTGGCTTTTGGTAGTCGTCGAAAGGATTACGTTGATGGGGGTCCAGAGGAGAACCATTACCGCTGTGAAGAGTCGATGACTGCTCGGTTCCTTGACCGCTGTCTCCGGACCAGCGGTGGTCCGTGTAAGGGTAGGTGTCGTGGTGAGCCATGTTATCCACCGACAGAGGCAGGAAAGCTGCTCGCTCCCCTGCCGTGACCGGTGCCTCTGTGATTTTACCTCTTCCAGAGTAAGTGAACAAGAGGCTCATGATGACCTGAGCAGTGACGATCCACGTCGCAATCCAGCCAATTTTGTGGTGAGCATTGTTCTCGTACAGATCTGGAGTATTGATATTGTACACCGTTCCGAACAGGACACCGAGGCCATTGAGTACGAGGAACAGGAATTGAACTGGAAGCGCATATCTCGACCGAGCAACGCTGAAAACGACGCCTGAAATCTGTCAGTCTTCCGCCCACGCCCATATTGACTCTCTCCCCGTTAACTCACCGACTGGCAAGACAAAGAACCAAGCGACCACCATAAGAATGATATGTGCCAGGATCATGTTCCCGTGCTGGCCCAACCCAGCATAGCTGGGTAGATTGTACAAATCATTATCGTCCATGGGCTTCTTCTCCTGAGGTTCGGCCATGTCCATACTACTGTGTTCATCGCCGCCATGGGCCGCTGCCAGCACGGCGAGCTGAAGCAGCACAGCTGCTAGGGTATATCTTGAACGGGACATCCGAGTGGCACGATGTCCCCGAGTATATCAACGATCCTGCTGTTACGCCAGTCGCGCAGCCTCAACAACCCCGACCGTCAATCACCTTAGGACGCCAGGAACGATATTGGGGGGTAGGATGGAGGACGCTCGCGAGAAAACAGTTAATTGAGACGAGGGTCCGGCTCCGGATGCTTTGCGACGGTTGCGACAAGGACGACGAGATTATGAGCAAAAGAAAGAGTCCTGTACAGGTGCACAATGGAGGATACACAGAGAGATCAAGCAAGAAGACAATCGAGAGAAGCGCCAGCTCTCGACGGAGCGGTACAACGACATTAAAAATCAAAGCGGCGGTCGGTCGGTCTGTTACTGTGGTTCGAGTCATTCGGCACCCAGCGACCGTGAGCGCGCGACAGACACACGGACGGATTGGTCAGGCGTGTGGAGGGAAATGGTTCCATACTGACAGGCCGGAGTGTTCGGATGCGCCATGCTGCCTAGTCGATGGTGGTGCATGTGTTTGTCGAGCCCGAGTCTCTGTTATCGCCGGTGCCAGTCCCGCAAGGCGTTGGATAGAGGGACACGGGCGACCAGGGCGGGAGCGAGGAAGACGCGTGATTGGGTCGGACGAAAAGAGGGCCGTCTTGCCAAGTGCGCGTCATAAGTTGCAGGGGCGGTTTGGGTGGGGAGCCGCTGCTAGTATCACCTAAGACGAAGGCAGAAAAAAAGCACTCGAACTAGGTTTGAACATGACGGGCCCTGCGATCGGGGATCAGGCTGCGGCTGGAAGTCTGCGGACCACTGGCAGTGGCACTCGGCTGCCATGGCTGCTAGTCACTTGACTCCAAGGCTGACGGATGATGGTCGGAGTGGATAACTCGGCACCGCTGAGAAAGACCACGACAGAAAGACAGAGAACAGAGAAACAGCTAGCTAAGTTGAAGCTGAACAAATGCAGTGCCCGTCTAAAGGCTTCCATCGCCTGCCATAGGCACCTGGTAGGTACGGATATAGGCATCCCGAAGTCCCATCCGGGCCTTAACCTTACATTGTAGGTCTTAGCTTAGGTAACCATCTGCACGCACTTCAGCTACAAATAATAGTGGGCGTCTGACAAGCTTGACGGACTGGCAGTGGTTATTCAATGCTGACAAACAAACTTCCATTGCAGTGGGTTGGCGTTTATGAGGCGTTAGGCTGCGGTCAGTTAGTAACAGTCGTAGTCTCGCTACCCATGCTACTACTGGCGTCTACTTCAAGTTGCGACCTGCGCGTGCCCACTAGTCCAAGCCAATAATGTGGAATATGTGTGCGTTCGAAGAGTATCCCTGCCACTAGTACTTGCGTACCTCAGATGATATCTATCGTGATACTCTGCATTGGCAAAGTCCTTCTGGGAACTCCCGGATATGCCGCCCACTGGCAGCAGGCGATAAGTGATGTCATGCGCCCGCCGCAAGAACCACTTGCTGCCTCAAGACCTCGCAAAAGATCAAAGTATATTGGAGTCACTATGACCAGCGAGCGATTCGAGATTGTGAAAACAGCGCAATTCGGATAGTTTCCGAGGGCGGACAGTTTACGATGTACTAGTAGTGCGGACAGTTTTCTCCATTATGATTGCAGCCTGTTCCTATTTGGTGGTGTGACCAGAAAGCGAATGGATGTCCTGCGGCTTCCTGTGACAGATCGTCGATCATCGATGATCGGGCGGGCACTGTGCTGGTATAGTTGTAGGTAGCTCCGGCGCTCTTGTTCAAGTTCCTGCTGGACGGGTAACGGCGCTGAAGCCTACTATTAGTATGGGGCAAGAATTATAATTGGGGCAGTGGCGGCCATGCTAACAAAGTGTCACGGCCAGTGCAGTGAGGGTCTCACCGGCATCTTTTGTCAAAGTACAATTGTACTAGTACTGCCAGAAAGTGGTGGCAGTAGTACCGGTTGCTCAGAGCCCGCCCAACGACATGGCAACTAAAAAATGGTAGGTTGTACCTTCAAGTTAGCCACTGCAGAAGCCAACCGTCGGAACCTCCCGCTTCTTTGCTCCAACACTGCACGCTGCATCCTGTCTTTCAGGGACCGGTTCACCGCAATTCTCAACGACAAGGCTACCGATGACCATGAAGGTATGTAAAACGGTATGCAGTGTACATTGAAGTACAGTATACAATGCGCATTCCAATATTGGCACATGCAGCAGCGGCAAGGTATGATCGCGAAGAAATTCGAACTGCCTTCATTCCGAGTCTCTTCCGTAAGTTGTGGTGCTGCTCCATACCAAGCATATGCATCTCGATCTTCCATTCCAGCCACCGACAAGAGTCCGAACAACAGGCATGTACGTGTTTGGACGTGCAGTTCTTATTACTACCACTGTACTACTACTGTACTACTACTACCCTCCGCGGACCCATGAGAAAAATTCTCGGGCGGGTTGGCTTGGTGATGACTAACATGCCGCTTTTTCGGCCGAGTCGTGGGCCGACGACTTTTCGCGAGGTGCCGACACAACCGATTTCGACGACGCGGGGAGTCGCTCTCTACGGGCGTGTCGGACTACACATCGTACAGGGACAGCACATCAGCGTACAAATGTCCGTTCATTCTTCACCGACTTCCACGTTTGATCTATTATGACTACCTTCCTGCCGCTGGTCACAAGGCTCTGCAGTATTGTACAGGGGTGTTCAGCCGGACTTCCCGTTCAAAGTTGACATCCAACCGATTCCATCGTCAGCGCCAGCGCCAGCACCAGCACCAATATTATTGTACTACTCGGATCGATGGTCACGGACCCTCCCGTCACGATCGTCGTTATGCATTGAATAATGCATTAATTGATTGCTAGTGCAGTGCAGCCTGGAACGCTGGGCAGCGGTGCATAAAGTCTTGTGCTACCGCTGTTGACCCCGGATTCCCTCCCCATACTGCCCACCTGCTGTAAGTTGTACAATGTTGTAGTCATGACAAACAACAAGTCAGTCAAATTATGCAGCGCACTGCGCATCTCAGGAATTCAATTTCCTTAGTCAGCTCGAAGGACAAGGACACCCAATCGCGCTGCAGTATGCTATTGCCAGAATCGTAGGAACCGGGGTACTAGTTGTACCGGGTCGTACCCATGTTCCAAAGTAAGTAGAGGTACTTACAGCACATACTAAAGTAATCATGCTACCTGCCTGGCAACCAAGTCACCTTGCCTGTCGTAATCAGCGTTATTAAGGTAAGCAACAGGGCCGAGGACTGCAGCGGCAGGGGGGGGACCAGAAATCCGGGGACTGGGGCCTCCTACTGCACATGTTCTAGTATCGTGCAGACAAAAACCAATGCTATAGTACTACTACTACGAACAGCTACTACAAGTGGTATGCTGACATTTTTCTCCCTGATGTTCAACCTTGGAGGTTCATCTGATCTGTCCTGAGGCCGGCTTTCCGCAAAATACAACCGACAGGGCCGAGGAGCCTACCTAGGTACGAGACCCATGCTCAACCGCTCGTGGCAGAACAACAGTTCGTAATACTAGTATCGAGAAAAGGAAATCGACAACTCGAATCATCATCATATCATTCCTGAATGAACTCCAGTAGTAGCACTACCTCAACCCAAGCCCGTATTTTTGCGCTCAAGGGCACACCTAAAGGTCCATAATCCTCGCAGCTGAGGAATGGAGCAGACATTCACACCGCGGCCGCTTTGCTTTGTGCCTCCTTGAAATTCAATTCATGTTCCGTTGTTAAGCTTGGCTCAATTCGATATCCTGGACACTGGCGAATGATTCATTGCTGTTGCTGTTTGATGTCAAGCTGAGCGTGCCATCCATTGGGCCACTGTCATTGCGACCCGGCGACTTGCACACTACCAGATACACCCTGCACTGCAGTGGGCCATGGCCACAAATAAACTCGAACTCACCAGCCAGCTCCAGCAGCAGCTACACCGATTCCAAGCTTCGCAACGAGTAGAACAACAAGTACGCTTCTTCGTGGTGGCGGAAACGATTTCATCGTCGAAGCTAAGCGGAACCATTTGC